TCTATTACCTTCACATTTCTCAATATAGTAATATACAGTGATATCAAAGTATTGCAAAGAATTTACCTTAATCTTGGATTGCATGAATTATAACAGAAGTCAGTAAACTTTCTGTAAAGGATAGATTGATAAAGATTATATGCCTTGTGAAGCATGTGTTCTTTGTCTTAACTACTGAAATCTGCTGTTATAGCACAAATATGCTCCAGACAATACATAAATGAATGTGTGTGGCTGTGTACCAATGAAACCATTGAAAAAAACAGGTGTTGGGCCACATTGACCAATGGGTTGTAGCTTGCTGACTCTTGAATCATTTCTCTTAGCCTGGTGTGCAGAAATTTTACTTAACTACTCCATTCTTGAAGTAAATACTTCCATTCTAAAATCTTTCTTTTTAAAAAAATGTGTATTTTTTTATTATTGCGTATTTTCAGTACTGTCTTGGTTACTTTTCTCTCATTGCTGAGACAAAATACCTGACACCCAAAATTAAGGAAAGAAAGGTTTATTTAGTTCACAGGTTGTGGAGGTTTCAGTTCATACTCGGCTGGCTCCAAGGCGTGTCCCATGGCAGAGGGCAACAGTTCATGGTGGCAGAAGATAGCAAAAGCAACAGCAAAAGGGAGCAGCGGTGGCAAGCAGCCTCTTTCCCTCTCACCCCAGGGTGGGTGTAGCACTCACATCCATAATTCCAACACCAGACCATGAATCAATCATACATCTAGAAGCCTGCCCCATGACTGCATGAGGCTTTGGGGGGACATGCAGACACAACCATAGCAAGTACATAATAGCTACATTCATTGTGTGGAGTTTGTACATGCACATAACACATCTTAATTCTTCTTTGTCCCCTTCCCTTTCCCTCCCTCCCTGCCCCTTGCAGCGCTTGACCCCATTCCCATTTGGAAAAGCTCTATTTCCATTTTTAAAATTTTCTTTCTTTTTGATTCTTTTCTTTTCCTTCTTTCTCCCCATCTATCTCTTGTTCTCCTTCCCACTGGAAAAAAATTTCCCTACTTCCTATTACCTATCCTTCATTTTGCTCTTTATTTATATTTTGTGTTTCTCATATAAGAGAAATCATTCAATATTTAACTTTACGTGTCTGCTTTATTTCACTTAACATTATGGTGTCAAAGTGCATTCATTTACCTACAAATGTCTCAGGTTTTTTATGGCAGAGTACTACTCCATTGTGTGTAAATACCACATTTTCTTTATCCATTCATGTACTGATGGACATATAGGCTATTTCCAAGATTTAGCTATTATAAATTATGCCGCTATACACATGCATATGGGTATATCACTGCAATATGATGACTTCTGGGAAGTAACTGTACCTAAAAGGGAAATATCTGCATCAAATGAAATTTCTATTCTTAGCTTTTTGAGGAATCTGCATTTTGATCTTCATAATGGTTGTACTAGTTTACATTCCCACCAACAATGTGGAAAGGTTCCTTTTCCCCCACAGTCTCACTAGCATTTGTTTTATTTGATTTTTTCATGATAGCAATTCTTTCTGGAGTAAGATGGAATCTCAGTATTGTTTTAATTTGCATTTCTGTAATGGCCAGCTATGTTGAAAATTTTCTCATGTATTTATTAGCCATCTGTATTTCATCAGGAAAGTGTCTAATTATTTCAGATGCCCATTTCTTGACTGAGTCTTTTGTTTTTGGGGGACGTAATTTTTTTTGAGTTCTTTATATATTCTTTTTTATTTTTTATTTTTTTATTTTGTTTTTTTATTTTAAAGAGAATAGTTAAAAAAAGAACAATAGCAGAATACAAACAAAAAAAGCAAGGACATTAAAAATTATATGGTGTTTCAAACCAAATGATAGGGATTAACAGTGGTTGCAACATTACATATTGTTATCTTCAACAAAGTTGCTCAGATTACCAGATGTAAGAACAGAAGATTGATCAAACCATTAAAGGGAATAAGAAAATAATAATTTAAAAGAACATTGAGACAATGCATAGACAGGTGGTTTATTGAGGGGAACAGTTGATTAAAATTTTTTTGTATATTGACCAATTTTGCATGCTTATATCTGGTAATCTGAGCAATTTATGTGAAGACAACAATATGCAGTATAGCAACCATTGGTGAATTCCTACAATCATGTCTAGTAAAACTGTCCTTTATTCTTAGTCCTCTGTCTGAGGAAGAGGTAGCAAAATTTTTTTTACCATTCTGTAGGTTGTCTCTTCACTCTATAGGTTGCCTTCCTTTTCTGTAAAGAAGTTTTTAAATTTGATGTGATCCTATTTGTTGATTCTTGGTCTTATTTCTGTATCATTGGGCGTTGTTTTCAGAAAGTCCTTGCCTATGCCTATGTCTTCAAGATGTTTATCTACTAGGGGCTGGGGATTTAGCTCAGCGGCAAAAGCGCCTGCCTGGCAAGTGCAAGGTCGTGAGTTCGGTTCCCGGTACCGGAGAAAAACAAAAAAAAAAAAAAAAAAAAAAAAACAAGATGTTTACCTACTTTATCTTCCAGCAGATTGTTTGTATTTTAACATTTAGACCTTTGATCCACTTTGAGTTTAGTCTATAGTGAGGCATATGTGTCTATATTCAATCTGCTGCATGTGGATATCTAGTCGTCCCAGAATCATTTATCAAAGAGGCTATCTTCCCTCCATTATATATTTTTGGCCCCTTTGTTGAAGGTCAAATATTGAAAGTATCTGGGGTTGTTTCTGCTTCCTCTGTTCTGTTCCATTGATCCACATTTCTGTTTTTGTGGTAGTACCATTCAGCTTTTATCACTGTAGCTTTTTAATATAACTTTAAATCTGGAATTATGTTGCCTCCTACTTCTTTGCTATTGTTAACCAGAATTGCTTTTGCTATTCTGAGTCTTTTCTAGTTCCACATGAATTCTAGGATTATTTTCTCTAGATCAGTGAGGAATGCTGTGGGTATTTTGATTGAGATTGTGCTAAATCTATATATCAATTTTAGAAGTGTGGGCATTTTGACTATATTGGTTCTGCACATCCAGGAACATGGAACATCTTTCCATTTTCTGATGTCTTCTTCAATCTCTTTTTTGAGAGTGATGTAATTTTCCTTGTAGAGGTCTTTTACTTCCTTGGTTAGGTTAATTCCTAAGTATTTAATTTTTCTTAATGCTACTGTGAATGGTATTATTTTCTTAATTTCTTTCTCAGTGAATTCATTGTTAATGTATAGAATTGCCATTTTTGTGTGTGTGTGTGTGTGTTGATTTTATAGCCTGCTACATTGCTGAATTTGGTTATTAATTCTAGAACTCTTTAGTGGAATTTTTTGGGTCTTATAAATAGAGGATCATCTCATCTGCATATAACTACGCTTTTGACTTCTTCTTTTCCTTTATAAATCCCTTTTATTTCTTTCCCTTGCCTGACTGGTCTGGCTAATGTTTCAAGGGCTATGTTAAACAAGGGTGGTGATAGTGGACATACTTCTCTTGTTTCTCATTTTTTTTTTTTTTTTTTTGGTTTTTTTGGTTTTTCTCCGGTACCGGGAACCGAACTCACGACCTTGCGCTTGCCAGGCAGGCGCTTTTGCCGCTGAGCTAAATCCCCAGCCCCTTGTTTCTCATTTTTGAGGGAAAGCCTTCAGTTTTTCTCCATTTAATATGATGTTGGCAGTAGGTTTGTTGTAAATGGCTTTTATCAGGTTGAGATAAAGTCCTTCTGTACCTATTTTCTTCAGGGTTATTGTTATGAATGAATGTTGGATTTTGTCAAAGGCTTTTTCTGCATCTATTGAGATGATCATGTGATTTTTGTCCTTTCTTTTGTTATTGTGATGGATTACATGTATTGATTTACATATGTTGAACCATCCCTGTATCCTTGGGATGAAGCCTACTTTGTCATGGTGTATGATCTTTTTGATGATTTGTTGCATTCTGTTTCCCAGTATCTTGCTGACGATTTTTGCATCTGTATTCATCTCTGGAACAGTGAGGTGCATCATTAGGTGCTTTGGGCTTGCTCTCTTTTTTGATGTGGGCATTCACACCTATCAGCTTCCGTCTTAGGACTGTTTTCATTATGTACCATAAGTTCTGGTACGCTGTACTGCATTATCATTTAATTATAGGTACTCTCATTTCTTTTTAATTTTTTTCTGTAACCCACTGATTATTCAAGAAAGCACAACCTCTTACTTTCAATTATTCCTTCATAAATAACCTATTTTACAAATACTGCAGTCTACTATGTTACCCTGATGCAACTTTATTTGAGTTTTACAACTTGCCTTTATTTTTTTCACTCTGAATTTATATTTCCTGAAGACAAGAAGTTATAGCTGTTTCTCTTGCATTCCTTTGCTTGTATTACCATTTTTATATGAGTTCAACCTTACTCTAAAAATCTTTTGCTCAGATATCTTTTGTACCTAGGGAATTGTGGTCAGCCTGGTTCAAAATCTTTAGGATATTACTGGTTAACCTCTTACTAAATATACTCTACACTTTTTGGTGAAGCTCAACCCCTTTTAACAAGCTACTCTGCTCAAAGAGCAAATAGGGTCTGGAGGCAGGATCTGTCTTGGCAAATCACTTGCAAAGATGAATGTTGGTCTCTGAACTTACTGAGTCCCTGGAGAGACCCTTGCCTTAGCCAGGAGAACTGGCAAGGAGTCTTTTATGCATTGTATACCTGCCTGCTATTCTAGGCAGTTCCCATACAACCTCAGTCCAGCTCACGTCTTTGTCCATTCCCTTGAAGCACCTCCTGTTCTCTTACCATCCTCCTCTGCTAACATTTCCAAATTCTAAAACTCTCCCTGCCATGGACACACTTGATGTTGGCAAAGCTTTTCAGTTATATGCATGAAGGCTGATAGATGATTGAGATTTACTACATGCTTTAAATTCACAGCTTTTCCTATTCAGCAATTTAGCTGTAGCTCCGGATAAAGGTAATTTGTGTGATCCATCCTGCTTTATGTCTCACTTGACATTCTGCCTTTTTCATGACAGGTTGCTGAATGCTATAAAGCCAGGACTTGTTAAAAAGATCAATAGATTGCCTACCCCCATTGCAGGATTGGTGAGTATCCAGAATTGAGATTTATTTTCCAATATTCCTTTACTCTAACCTAAGGGTCATGACAATATCATTTATTACAGTCTCTCCTGCAGTTTATACCCTACTTGAATGAGAATGCATTGAATCCATTAAATGAAGAGGTCACTGAAAAATGAAAAATTCCAGTGATGTCTAAATGGCATCTTAATCTTTGTTTGTATTTTTTCCATGAGTGATAAAGTCCTTCAGCCTTCAAGAGGTAAATTTGTTTTGGGGTGAGAGGCTGATAATTGGGTTGACCCCAGGAGAGGAATGTGATTTTAATTGCATTTTCTCATTTCAGTGCCTCGCCACATTCCCCAGCTCTGAAATGCAGGGGAGGTGGAGAGAAAGAGGATTTCAAAAGAAAGCAGCACTTTCATAATCAGTTGCTGTTTCAGTCTATTTGAGTTTAAATATCACTATTCTAACTATTTTTAAACCAACAATTCTAAAGACATAACAGGTACTGATGTGGTCCCACGTCAGTGGGAGGACTGTTTACACACAGCTTTTGCCCTTCTGAACCTGCTCATCTGAAAACTACAGAACGTCATTAGAAGCAAGATTCTTTTCATGTATTGATATGGTTCATAATTTCTGGCAACTCACTTTAATCATTTAATTGATGTCATATGTGTTGAAAAAGAAAAAAGAAGCCAGGCATGGTGGCACATACCTGGAAACCCAGCTACTTGGAAAGCTGAGGCAGGAATTTAAGGTCAGCCCAGTCAACTTAGGCTCTGTCCCCAGAGCAAACATTTTTTTAAAGGAGCTGTAGCTCAGTGGTAGAACACTTGCCAGGCATGCATAATGCTCTGTATTCAATCCCCAGAGCTGCACAAAAAGAAAAAGGAAAAAGGTGGGAGATCAGGGGAACAACCTATTCTTAATTCTGGAAAAAACTCATCACACACATGCACGTATGCACACATGTGTGTGCATACCGGGCTGGGGGTGACTCACTGATTGTGTCTATTATGAGAGCCTTCTGTGCAAGTATTTTTGCAGCAAACAATGAGAAAAATGTCAAGAATTTAGGCAGGATCCTACATAGACCTTAGTGATTGTTTTAAAGTTTCTAAGCCATATTACAATAAATAACTAAGATTAGATGTGACAAAACCCAATTGTGTTTGAAAACTATGGGGGTCCTGTAGTGGAGAGCATAGCGTCAGCAAGCTGAATGAATTGGATGCTTTCTTTATTTCATAAATTGCTATTTCTGTGGATGTATTTGATTTCCAGTATTGGTTGGTAGTGAGTTAATAATTAGTCATTATAAATCTTTCTGATTTTGTTTGTCAAAATCATACAGCCAAGTAAGTTAACACATAGGTGGATAGGTAGATAGATAAATTTAAGAATAATGGATTTGAATAATTTTTTTTTTTTTGGCTTTTCTCCGGTACCGGGAACCGAACTCACGACCTTGCGCTTGCCAGGCAGACGCTTTGCCGCTGAGCTAAATCCCCAGCCCTGGATTTGAATAATTTTATATAATAAGTAATATGTGGACATTATATTAGATTTTAGCTATACTATATATGTATTAGTATGTACATACATTAATTATTTTAGACCTTTTTATCAAATCCATTGCTTCCAAATGTTAAAGCCCTGGTCTTGATGATTCTAACAAATACCTGTTTAGCGCCATGTCTGAGGCATCTCCTGATCCTGGACCTTGGGGTTTCATGTTACAAGAGCAGAACTCAGAGCAGAAAATTGAAAAAGGCCCCAGGGAAACTCTGTGAATAGAAGCAAGGAGCTGTGCCTCTGGTAGTTAAGGGGCAAAAGGGCTTGACACCACAGATTAAAATGGAAATCATAAATAATTTTAGAAAAATTGTGGTGTTGGGGACACATGCACTTATGTTTACATAATTTCTTCTAGAAATAGCAAATCTCTAATGTAAGTGTCACGTATGTTGTGTCTACTTGGGAGGAGTCCGACAGTATGATGCAAGCGAGCTGGGGGCCTCAGCGCCGCTCCTCCCATTCGTGAGTTCACTGCATTCCTGCTCTGCCCTTTCATCTGGATTTCCCTTGTCCTTTCCATCATTTTTCCTTTTCCTTACCCTTTTCTTTTTTTTTGGTACCAGGAATCAAACTCATGACCTCAGGCTTGCCAGGCAAGCGCTTATGCTGCTGAGTTACATCCCCGGTCCCTCCTTATCCTTTTCTAACACTTCTCCAGTTACTTTCATCTTCTGTCACTTGTATCTTCTTTGCTGATTTATTATCGTTAGCCCACATTTAACATTTTAGTGTTAAACGTTACTCACTTCACCACTGTAGTAGTTACACAGTGTTTTCCTAAATATAGTCAACTACTGCCCATTCTTAAAGGATCCTGAATCTACAAATTTGAGCAACCCCTTTTTCTTTCTTCCACTTACCTTCAGATCAACATTTCCAGCAGTACACTAACAGGAACCCTGGCAGGAAACAGAACTGATGTGTCCCCCTCCATAACTTTCAGGGTCTCTCTTCAAACCCATAGGCTGAGGGGAGACCCTCTGTGCCCATGTTCTTGTCTCTCTTCCTGACTTTAGCTCTGTACAACGTTGACCCAATCAGCATTCCTCACCCCGTGCTGTCCCCTCAACTCTGGACCTGGAGATCTGTCTATTGGACAGCTTTCTCTAGATGTCCTTCAAGCCCCTCAAACTCAGCAAATTCAAATCAGACTCAGATGGCCTCTCCCACCCACCTATTGCCCGATGTCAGTACAGCAATCTTAGAAAGGCCATCAGGGAGCTTGGCAACTTACCCTAAACCTTCTACTAGCTCCATCTCCTGGCCACTGTTCTAGTGCAGGCTGTCCTTGTCTCTTACTTGGAATTTTTGTGAGGAGTGGGTAGGAACTTCAAATAAATACTAGGTTTGAAGATGGTGAAGACCATCTTGGGTTGATAGAAATGTAGCCTTTGTGGGGGTGTATTTTTCACATGACATTTTCTTTGTCCTGATATTCATGACAGTCAAGAAAGGGAAGACAGAAGCTGGGTGTGGTGGTGAACACCTGTAATCGAAGCACTTGAGAGGCTGAGGCAGGAGAACTGCTGTGAGTTTGAGGCCATCCTGGGCTATATAGTGAGTTTAAGGCCAGCTTGAATGGCATAGTGAGACCCTGTCTCAAAAACCAAAACAAAATAAACAAAAAAAAAAAAAAAAAGAAAGAAAGAAAGAAAGAAAAAAAGAAAAAGAAACAGTAGAGATTCCCTCAAAGAAGACCTTGAAGTTGGTTTGTCCTTTCTCAGGGGATTGGCAGGCCACTACCATCTACTGACCAAGAAGATTGTAGTAGCAGGGGCAGAGAGATCTGAGAAGGGCAGCAGCGGGGTTTCCATGCCTGGAAGCTAAGCTTTTGCGTCTTAATGGCCTGGTGCTGAGAAACCAGTCCATTCGGATGGCCCAGCTGCTTGACTTGAAGATAAATGGACAACTGTGTTTTCACATAGCAATCCCAAATTATAAACACGTGTAGATTTACAAAGGCATGAATAGGTGTATTTTAGTCCCTGAGTTGGGCTGTGCTTACAAAGAATTCAGGGGTGAAGGTGTTAAAACAAAGTAGTTGAAAATCATTTCCTGGCAAGAATGCAAAGAGCCTGGATCCGGGTCTGTGTTTCCTCTGCAACGATTGCTGACACATGAAGCCGTACAGTGACTGCCTGCAGATGCTCGCATTCTTCTTTAGGTGTTAGTGATACTTTAGCCACCGCCAGAACAGAGAGACCTCAAGTTTAGTTCTGGGCATACCAAGGCCTTTTCAGAAGCTGCCCTTCAGTGGGCCGGCTCCTCAGCATGGTGCAATCAAGTCACATCGTGAAACTCAGTGGTCATTAACGGTCCTGTGGAGGTTGTTTCATCCTCTGTCCTTGTTTAGCGTAGGAGTTTGGGGATTAAGCTTTTTCTTGTGAGATTTTTATTCTGATAGCCATTTGCATGAGTGTCTGTGAGTTACAAGTAGAAATAGATGATATTTAGGGACTGTACCCTTAGAAAAACCATTTTAGAGCTGTCACAAAATATTTGCTTGATCTTACGTATGAATTCATAAGAATAAGAGTGATCTTACAGATGGAAGGACATCTTAGATATATTTATTTTAAGATGAGGACAGGTGAGTTACAAGGGAACAGTTATTTGCCCAAGATTAGATACGCAGTAAAGACTGAGGTAGATCCCCTATCCTGACCCCCTTTCACCCTAGTTGTTTTGTGGCCATGTGTTCTTAGTTGAGGATAGAACACATGTTAATGACAAGTTATCTTGCTTTTTGTGAGAAATAGGAAAGCAAAGATTCACTTTCCACCTCTTGCTCCCCTGACCTTTGGGCTAATACATTCAAAATATCTTTCCTAACTCTGAAAGGCTCCACTTCCCAAAATGCCTCTTAGCCAGAAGAATGGTGGAAATTTGACTCACAGAGGCGCAGTATCACAGAGCAGGAAGCTGAAAGGTAGAACTGTCCTCCTATCTAGTAATCTTCACTCGCCCAGAAATGCATTTTTTTAAAGAAAAAGGATGTATTTTTCTCTAATCAAATCTCAAATATGGTTAGAGCTCAGCTTTGTGAAATGAATAAAAATGTAAATTTTCGTAAATTCTGTAGACCTTAGGAAGCTTTCAAAAGGTATCTGCTTTATTTTATGGAACTGATAACAGAACATTTAACATTTCATTGCTGGAGGGAGGGCAGATTGAGGAAATGATGAAAGGGCTGGAGAGATTTCCACGTTATGAGAAGATTAAAAGTACTGTTTTGGGAAAAGATAGATGTGTGAGCTGCTGAAAGCTAAGGAGCAAGAGTGAAAAGCCTGGATGCAGCATCATGGTTTTAGGAAGATGGCAGTGCACTTAGTTTGGGTACCCAGTGTTGTGAGTGTCTGTAGCCAGGAAAAAAGTCTTCTGCAAATGCTACCGGGGGTAGGATTAGCGCTTGTGTGGCCAGCTCACCCTTACGAGCACCT